TTCTAAGATTGTTAATTGAAATTATTGGAATGTGTTGTACTGTGGGTTTGGCTTTTCAACTATTTTTTTTGGGAATATAAATTTATCGTAATTTCTTATTTGTTGCTTAATAATTTTCTATAAAAATGACTCATTTTCGGTATAAATAATGATGGTAGCTTCAGCTAGTTAAAATAATTAATTGCGTAAGGTCTAAAAACGCTTACCATTCTTAATAGTAATTCAAATTGTCATTTTTATTCATTAAATATAATTATTATCTTTGATTAATTTAGATGAATTTTGTTAGAGTTCTGATAATTATTTGATTTTTTCGAATTAATTTATTTATTATTAGACTTCAATTAATTCTTATTTCTCTTTTTAAATTGGGATTGTGTTAGTTTTTTTTAATGAATCATCAACAAATTTGTTTATAGCATTTTCACTATTTTTTAAGATGTTTTCTTTCGATTTCTAAAGCAATATTATATTCATATTTTTATCCACTAAAAAGCTTTATTCGAATTTCATAAGTAAATTTCATCTCTTTCTTAATATATATTTCATTACGATTTAACTTATTGATTTACTAGACAGCCGCATCCACTTTACTTTGTTCTTTTCAAACTATTAAGAGTTAGTATATACGAGAATTTAAATGAGTTTGTACAAAACAGATAATAAATAATCTTATAACTAAATAATAATTAATATTTATATAACAATCTAAACTTGATCCTTATCTATACTGCTAAAAGACTTTGATGAAATTCTTAAACTTCAGATATCAAATTATTGCATAAACAATAATTAATGCTTCGTTTATGCATATTCATTTGACAATAAAATTTGAAGAATGTAATGTGAATAAACAGTTTTTAACGATGAAAATTCTGAAGTTTTGAAAGTATATATTTCAAAAATATCAAAAAAGGATAAAATTGAATTATTTGGGTAAAATACTTTATTGATAAGAGCTAATAATAAAGTTACAAATACATGTTCCTAATAATTACATTAAATTAAAATAGTATCTGTCTATTCTTTTAGCTAGTTGGACACTTGAATAAAAATTAAAAAAAATAACTTTTCATATTTAAATTAGGATCATAACTAATTTTGGAAAATTATTTCAATAAAAAAGAATAAATTATCTAATAAAAAATAAATTTCCTTGACAAGATAAATTATAAAAATATAGAATTTAGCTTATTTTAAGTGAAATTCTAAAACATTATATAAGAACTGTACTTAATTTTGAGAATTTCAAATATATTTCTAATGATATTCCTTATTTAGACATCTACTTCATAGTTGATTTCATTGCCAATTACTATCCCCTCTTTAATTGCATATTTCATTTGTCTATTCATCTCCTATATTATCTTCTATTTATTGTTCTGTTCATCGTTTGTATTTAATCGCTAATTTCATCGTCTGTTTTATCCCCTATTTCATCGAATATTTCACCCCAAAATTCATCGCATCATCACTCCCCTATTTCATTTTCGATATATAGTCAATTTCATCCCCTATATCAGAGTCCATTAATGGCCTATTTCATTCTTTATATTTCATCACCTATTTCATCTAGTACCATCCCCTATTTCATCTAAGATTTCATTGCAATTAAAATAGGGGGTTCCTCAAATTTTTATTTTTTTGTAACCCCAACAATATTACAGGCGAATAAGAGAGGAAGCGAAATGCAAGCCTTTGATCAAACCCATAAGGAATCCCTTTTTAATTGATATTGCTTTCTAAAGTATAAGCATCTTTATCAAAAGTCTACATTAAAATAATTTTTTCATTCAACTTTTTTTTTCTTAATGTTCCTTAAGAATCTGGAATCCAATATTTATTTTACTTAAATCATCTTTTCAAAAGCTTTTATAATCAAATAGTTGATTCAAGTACAATCAGAAAGTGTTTGAATCTTCGTATGTATCAAAAAATAAAAAATCTTTATCAGCTCAGGGTAGATTTGTCCCAGTCTAGATTCTCCTTTAAATTTCATAACTAAGACTGGGGAAAAACTATGGCTTTGATTTTTGCTAGCGATTGAAAGGGTAAAATTTTATCTATCAAACGATATTAAAAGGATTGTAGGACCAAATACCAAATCTAAAAGAAACATACAATTTCAAAAAGAGTTTTAAGGCAAACCTTTTAATAATAATTGCAATTCCAAAAATTATTTTCTTAATAATCATAGAACATCTTTATTGCTAAAGGCTCATTTGATTTATTTAATACTTTGTTAAGTTACTGTTTTGCCTTTTTTCGAACTTTTAAGTATTCTTTATGCTCATATTTTGAGTTTTTGTGACAATAATACATTAGTTTTTAATTAAAAAAAATTGTGATTGTCCTTTGAGGTTTAAAATTCAAATGGGGTTTCTCTTCTTCGATACTAACATTCACAAATCTTTTTAGATTACTTTTGAATAAGTTCCTTGAATAATAATATTTATTAATAAAATAAAAAAATGATATATTTTATTTAAAAATAAAGTTATTTTAGGAAAACATATATTTGCTAAATATCAATAATATCAGCATCTCTTTATGTATCTGTAAATAAGTGAATTAATTTTTTGGGTCGGGTTACAATTTAACATTCAATTTAAAAATATTCTCTAACCATACAATATTCTTAATTGGAGAGTTTTATAACTTGAATTTTTGTAAAATTTAACTGCATATAGAGATTTATCAAATTTATATAAATTGGCTTCTTTGTCTATGCTTACTATAATGAATTTGACAATAAACTATAATAATAATTGTTAAAGGACAAGTGATAATTTAAATCAAGAACTTAGTTTAAAACGAAATTCAAAATATTATAAAAATGAAAATCTTTTCATATAATTTGCTTGCAATATTTGCGGTTTAAATATCAATGTGCTGTACGATAACAAAATTACAGTATATATACCCACTTTAAACAGTTTCAATGGAAAATATATATTAACATTATGCTTGTTGTGCTGGGGTTGGAGCGTGGAGTAGATATGTTCCCCTTACTAATCTAATATAAATTGGAACAATTGGTATACTTGATAGTAGTTGTTTTCATATGTTTAGAATATAGGATAAGACAAGCAATGAATTACATTTTATTTATTATGAATGTATTGATCATGAGAATAAAACAATCAAGAAATATTTTCTATTTTTTGATAGGGAAGTTGGAAGTATTAAAGAAGAGAATCTAATAGATAATACCTAATTATGAATTTGTTTGGTATTTTAAAGGGTTCTTATACAAATCCTGCAAAATCACCAAATCATATTATATTTATTAGATGGAATGGAGTAAATATATTAAAAAACAATATCATTAAAGTTTCCAATTGAAAAATAAAACTATAACCTAATAGTTGGAGGTGATTTCATTGTACCCCAAAATATTCCCCTTCAACTTTTTGAAAGAGATATCTTTTCCTATTTTCCAGGAGAAATTATGTATATTTAGAATTGTTTTCCACAAACCATTAATTATTTTATTTACATCATCCATATTAACTATTACATTTATTGTGAGTGTGAATAAAGTTTAACAACCAGCATAGCAGATGTAACAATAAAAAATTAAAGTATTTATGAGTTTGTTTCTCAACAATCTAATTGTTAAGAATTTTTATTTTCTGGTTGGATAAAAATTTAAGAAATTTATTCATCCGATGATGAATTCGATTTTTAATTTATGAGACTATCTGGTAACTTTTAACATTAAAAATTAATTGGACAAAATTTGTGTGCATTTTAACTATTTTACAAGATCTCATCAAGTTAGAATCAAATTATTATAACAACTTATAGCTATACTTTCCCAGCTGTAGATATAGACTTTTCAAGCAATCCTTTCTTAAAGTCTGAAGTAATTGATGTAGGCTCTGATATTAAATTATGGCATTACCTATTCGTAAAGAAACTAGAAAATTCAATTTTGGTTTCTATTACTTTTTACAAAGGTTTTGATAAAGAAGAATTTAATATAAAATTAGATGTGTTACAGTTTAATAAAGTGTAATTTAAGTTATCATATGGTAATTTGTTATAATCTTCATCTAATTACCTAACAATCTCAATTGTAGGATTCCAATTTTTTAATTGTCTAGGTTATGAAGAACCATCTGCAAGTTGCCACCCAACTTGCCAAGAATGTGATGGTCCAACAAAAGATGATTGCCTAACATGTTTTTAGGAATCAAATCGAAGTTATTTACCAGATTATAAGTAATGTATCTGTGAATATGGAACAATTGATATGGATAATCAATGTGTTAGTTATGAATTCTTAAACCTTAGATTAAATCAAGAAAAATTATTGAAAGAAGAATGCAAATATGGTTTTTTCGAATTTGAAGGGGATTGTTAATAATGGTAATATTTTCATAATCATTAAGCCCTTCAATAATAAATAAAAATGTTATAACCTGTTTGGAATGTGTTTAGAATCCTAAAAAATGGGCTCAAACTCTTATTTGTCAAACAACTTTATATACGGATTAAGAAGGAAATGTATCATAATAGTTGTAGGACGACAAAAAGTACTATACCTTTGTGGGCAACGATTTATAATACTGTCCTGATTGCAAAATAATAGTGACTCCATCATATGATTTAATCGAAAAACTAGATTAATTTAAAGATTTTTGTCTAACTTCTCAATCAATAAATGAAAATTGCTACTCATGTGGATTAAAATGTAAATCATGTTAAATCTTACAAACTAATTTAATTTGCTTAACCGATGAAATCATACCGTTTCCTTAATATTAATCTTGTGAACCTCCAAATTACTATAATTTCCAATAAAATTGTGTAGCTTGTAAAATAAAACATTGTTTATATTGTTTCAATTATTTTGCAAGCGATCCAACAAAAACTACTCTGGGCGCTTTAGATGTTTATTCTTTTAATGATGAAAAAATTAAAGATGGAAGTTACTCCCTGATTGATGAAGAAACTATCGAAGGTTGTGCTTAATGTGCTGATAAATACATCTATGATTTCACAATTAAGGAGTGTATTGTTAAGAAGCCGTCCTAATAAAATTGCCTCCGATCCTATATCAATTTTTAAAAGGAAGAAATTTGCACTCTTTCTGCCAATGACGATTTTACTATTGCTCTGGAAATCTAAAATTGTGAATCCCATATTCTTAATTGTAAGTAATGTATCAAAACTCCATAATCTACTCTTAAATGCTTACTTTGCGAGGATTATAAGATGCTTTCTACCTTAACAGGAGTTTGCAGTGCTTGTGAAAAGAGTTTCTCCAAATAATGTTTATTAGAGAACGGTTTAGATCCTTGGAAATGGATAGTTCAAGGATTTACTAATTAATTTTTACCTACTAAACCTATTTTTTCTAAGTTTATAATGATACCGAATACTTTAATCATTGAATGCATACCTGGTTATAAAAAGATAAAAAATGAATGTTTTGTGCCTTGTGATTAAACGTGTTCTGAATGCAAAGAGACAGATAATGGTTTTTAATGTTCTAAGTGCAAATAAAATTATTATTAAGACCCCATAAGAAATTATTCCGATGGAAATTGTTTTCAATGTTCCTCATTATGCCAAGTTTGTGAAATTAGACCGAATGAAGAAATAAATGTATTTTACCATTAATAAAATAGCAAATAAATCCATATTTTATCACAACCCCAGAAAATACGATTTACACTTACAAATGTCTTTAATAAGTTCCTTAAGAACAAATTCAAATTGATCCAAATTTTCAAATTGCATAATATTGTTATTAAAACAATTGCGACAACAATTTAGAAATATTTCATGTAAACTATTATTTAATTTAGGATACATACTGATTGTAATACTTTTGAAAGAATAAATGATTTTATAATAAATATATATAGTTACCAATATTTTAACAATATTGGCCTTAAGGAAATGACTCTTACTTTACAACTAGCAGGATACTGCGCTTTCAAAGCTAATGTTCAAGATCTTTAGAACTATTACAAGGAAAACATTTTTTCAATTCAATTAGTAAGATTGAAGATTAAGGGGACTAATTTTCCAATTGTTGCAAAAAAGTCGTTTACTTTAACAATTTTAAAATTTGATGTCATTGTATTAATTAATCTCAAATTTTCAATTTACTCTTTGTTAGATCTGATAATCCAAAACAGGGGGCAACCCTATAGATTTAAAGATTATTGATACTCAATTTTATTAAGCTAAACATAATGCAATATCATTATCTATTCAAGGAGATAGTTTTCTTAATTTGTATCTCGAAAATTTATTAATTTTTGATAGCAGTATTGAGAATTCAGTCGTATTTAACATTTATTGTACAAATT